CAGGGACAGGAGATGACCCTTAAGGGCAGGCCAAGCCCTCCCATCCTGTCCTGGGACATCCTGGGTGTTCCTCCCCTCTTGCCAGGGCTGCTTCTGCACCTGAGAAACTGGGCCAGTTTGGGCTACAGATACTGCGGGGAGCCCCCTGGTCATTGCACGCAGCCGTGGAGAGAAGGGTCAGCCCGGCCAGGGACAGGAGATGACCCTTAAGGGCAGGCCAAGCCCTCCCGTCCTGTCCTGGGACATCCTGGGTGTTTCTCCCCTCTTGCCAGGGCTGCTTCTGCACATGAGAAAATAGGCCAGTTTGGGCTACAGACACTGCGGGGAGCCCTCTGGTCATTGCATGCAGCTGTGGAGAGAAGGGTCAGCCCGGCCAGGGACAGGAGATGACCCTTAAGGGCAGGCCAAGCCCTCCCGTCCTGTCCTGGGACATCCTGGGTGTTTCTCCCCTCTTGCCAGGGCTGCTTCTGCACATGAGAAAATAGGCCAGTTTGGGCTACAGATACTGCGGGGAGCCCCCTGGTCATTGCACGCAGCCGTGGAGAGAAGGGTCAGCCCGGCCAGGGACAGGAGATGACCCTTAAGGGCCGGCCAAGCCCTCCCGTCCTGTCCTGGGACATCCTGGGTGTTTCTCCCCTCTTGCCAAGGCTGCTTCTGCACATGAGAAACTGGGCCAGTTTGGGCTACAGATACTGCGGGGAGCCCCCTGGTCATTGCATGCAGCCATGGAGAGAAGGGTCAGCCCGGCCAGGGACAGGAGATGACCCTTAAGGGCAGGCCAAGCCCTCCCGTCCTGTCCTGGGACATCCTGGGTGTTTCTCCCCTCTTGCCAGGGCTGCTTCTGCACATGAGAAAATAGGCCAGTTTGGGCTACAGACACTGCGGGGAGCCCTCTGGTCATTGCATGCAGCTGTGGAGAGAAGGGTCAGCCCGGCCAGGGACAGGAGATGACCCTTAAGGGCAGGCCAAGCCCTCCCGTCCTGTCCTGGGACATCCTGGGTGTTTCTCCCCTCTTGCCAGGGCTGCTTCTGCACATGAGAAAATAGGCCAGTTTGGGCTACAGACACTGCGGGGAGCCCTCTGGTCATTGCATGCAGCCGTGGAGAGAAGGGTCAGCCCGGCCAGGGACAGGAGATGACCCTTAAGGGCAGGCCAAGCCCTCCCATCCTGTCCTGGGACATCCTGGGTGTTCCTCCCCTCTTGCCAGGGCTGCTTCTGCACCTGAGAAACTGGGCCAGTTTGGGCTACAGATACTGCGGGGAGCCCCCTGGTCATTGCATGCAGCCGTGGAGAGAAGGGTCAGCCCGGCCAGGGACAGGAGATGACCCTTAAGGGCAGGCCAAGCCCTCCCATCCTGTCCTGGGACATCCTGGGTGTTCCTCCCCTCTTGCCAGGGCTGCTTCTGCACCTGAGAAACTGGGCCAGTTTGGGCTACAGATACTGCGGGGAGCCCCCTGGTCATTGCATGCAGCCGTGGAGAGAAGGGTCAGCCCGGCCAGGGACAGGAGATGACCCTTAAGGGCAGGCCAAGCCCTCCCATCCTGTCCTGGGACATCCTGGGTGTTCCTCCCCTCTTGCCAGGGCTGCTTCTGCACCTGAGAAACTGGGCCAGTTTGGGCTACAGATACTGCGGGGAGCCCCCTGGTCATTGCACGCAGCCGTGGAGAGAAGGGTCAGCCCGGCCAGGGACAGGAGATGACCCTTAAGGGCAGGCCAAGCCCTCCCATCCTGTCCTGGGACATCCTGGGTGTTCCTCCCCTCTTGCCAGGGCTGCTTCTGCACCTGAGAAACTGGGCCAGTTTGGGCTACAGATACTGCGGGGAGCCCCCTGGTCATTGCATGCAGCCGTGGAGAGAAGGGTCAGCCCGGCCAGGGACAGGAGATGACCCTTAAGGGCAGGCCAAGCCCTCCCATCCTGTCCTGGGACATCCTGGGTGTTCCTCCCCTCTTGCCAGGGCTGCTTCTGCACCTGAGAAACTGGGCCAGTTTGGGCTACAGATACTGCGGGGAGCCCCCTGGTCATTGCACGCAGCCGTGGAGAGAAGGGTCAGCCCGGCCAGGGACAGGAGATGACCCTTAAGGGCAGGCCAAGCCCTCCCGTCCTGTCCTGGGACATCCTGGGTGTTTCTCCCCTCTTGCCAGGGCTGCTTCTGCACATGAGAAAATAGGCCAGTTTGGGCTACAGACACTGCGGGGAGCCCTCTGGTCATTGCATGCAGCTGTGGAGAGAAGGGTCAGCCCGGCCAGGGACAGGAGATGACCCTTAAGGGCAGGCCAAGCCCTCCCGTCCTGTCCTGGGACATCCTGGGTGTTTCTCCCCTCTTGCCAGGGCTGCTTCTGCACATGAGAAAATAGGCCAGTTTGGGCTACAGACACTGCGGGGAGCCCTCTGGTCATTGCATGCAGCTGTGGAGAGAAGGGTCAGCCCGGCCAGGGACAGGAGATGACCCTTAAGGGCAGGCCAAGCCCTCCCGTCCTGTCCTGGGACATCCTGGGTGTTTCTCCCCTCTTGCCAGGGCTGCTTCTGCACATGAGAAAATAGGCCAGTTTGGGCTACAGACACTGCGGGGAGCCCTCTGGTCATTGCATGCAGCTGTGGAGAGAAGGGTCAGCCCGGCCAGGGACAGGAGATGACCCTTAAGGGCAGGCCAAGCCCTCCCGTCCTGTCCTGGGACATCCTGGGTGTTTCTCCCCTCTTGCCAGGGCTGCTTCTGCACATGAGAAAATAGGCCAGTTTGGGCTACAGACACTGCGGGGAGCCCTCTGGTCATTGCATGCAGCTGTGGAGAGAAGGGTCAGCCCGGCCAGGGACAGGAGATGACCCTTAAGGGCAGGCCAAGCCCTCCCGTCCTGTCCTGGGACATCCTGGGTGTTTCTCCCCTCTTGCCAAGGCTGCTTCTGCACATGAGAAACTGGGCCAGTTTGGGCTACAGATACTGCGGGGAGCCCCCTGGTCATTGCATGCAGCCGTGGAGAGAAGGGTCAGCCCGGCCAGGGACAGGAGATGACCCTTAAGGGCAGGCCAAGCCCTCCCGTCCTGTCCTGGGACATCCTGGGTGTTTCTCCCCTCTTGCCAGGGCTGCTTCTGCACATGAGAAAATAGGCCAGTTTGGGCTACAGACACTGCGGGGAGCCCTCTGGTCATTGCATGCAGCTGTGGAGAGAAGGGTCAGCCCGGCCAGGGACAGGAGATGACCCTTAAGGGCAGGCCAAGCCCTCCCGTCCTGTCCTGGGACATCCTGGGTGTTTCTCCCCTCTTGCCAGGGCTGCTTCTGCACATGAGAAACTGGGCCAGTTTGGGCTACAGATACTGCGGGGAGCCCCCTGGTCATTGCATGCAGCCGTGGAGAGAAGGGTCAGCCCGGCCAGGGACAGGAGATGACCCTTAAGGGCAGTCCAAGCCCTCCCATCCTGTCCTGGGACATTCTGGGTGTTTCTTCCCTCTTGCCAGGGCTGCTCCTCGGTTGGTCTTGGAGGCCCGAGGTTTGTTGCGCAGGTGGCACCTGGCCTGGGCTCCCAGGGGAAAGTAGAGATGCCAAGCTGGGTCTGCCCTCAGAGGGAGATTGGGGGTATGTGGGGGGGGGGTCCTTCTTGGGGAATGCTCGGAGTGAAAAGGAGAAGGTCCCGCATCCCAAAGCACTCCACTAGGAAGCAGGTTGGTACAGATGCGCCTCCTCCTCCTCCTCCTCCTCCTCCTCCTCCTCCAGGCACATTAATGCACAGACACACACAGAGAGCTGTCATAGAGTGATGCATCAGCCACTGCGCACCCACTCCTCCTCTTCCTCTTCCCCTGGAGAAAGTGGGGAGGGGGCAAGTGGGGGAGGGCACGAGAAGGAAACTGGCATCACCCTCATCGCCACCAACAGCACCAACAACAGCAGCAGCGGCATCTGACTGCAAAGAGGAAAGTGGGGCACACAGCACACCCCCCCCCCTTGCCTCTCTGTCAGCTGCTCCCTCCGTCCCCCCTCCCTCCTGTCTGATGCCACTCTGGCACATTCCCAGGCAGGTACCTGCAGCTCGGCTCTCTCTCTCTCCTAAGAACACCCCCCCCCAAAAAAAGGCTGCATTCTCTCTCTTTCGCCCTCACTTTCCCCAATGCCCAATGACTCCCCCCCCCAACTCCCCCAAATGGGGATAACAACGCACAGGATCCATTCAGTCATAAGGTTGGCTGGTTCCCCTGCAGTGCTTTGCCAAGGCGAATGCCAAGCAAGCAGAGTGCCAAAGAGGAGGAGGAAGGGGTGCTGGGACCAAAGGGAGGGAGGGGGCTGCAGAGAGAGGGGAAGGGGCTGCAGGGTCCCGGGACCCCCACCAGAATAAGAAGAAGACTTTGTTTACAATCCCCGGCCCAAGTGTGCTAGTCTCCCTCTGCCTTCGCCTCTGCCTGGGGGGCAGGTGCATCGCCAGAGGGTTTGCGGGGAAGGAGACCCCCAGGACCCCCACTTTCTCCCTGGGACCCCAGCCCCGCTCCCCTTCCCCCTCCAGACCAGGAAAAGCGGGGAGAGGAATTGTCGGGAGTGGAGCGGGACTGGCATCCCAGCATCCTCCTCCCTTCCTTCCTTCCTTGCATCCTCCTTCCTCGCCTCTGCCTGGGGGGCAGGTGCATCGCCAGAGGGTTTGGGGGTAAGGAGACCCCCAGGACCCCCACTTTCTCCCTGGGACCCCAGCTTTGCTCCCCTTCCCCCTCCGGACCAGGAAAAGAGGGGAGAGGAATTGTCGGGAGTGGAGCAGGGCTAGCATTCCAGCATCCTCCTTCCTTGCATCCTCCTCCTTTCGGGGAGCATCCTTTGGCCAAAAGGGAGGGAGAGATGAGGGGGCGACGGAGATGGGGGGGGGGGGCCTGCTTCTCTTTTGTATTTCTTTTCTTCTTTTTTTCTGTCTTCCCTTTTCTTCTTCTTTTTTCCTTTCTTTTTCTTTTCTTTCTCTCTTTCTCTTTTTTTTTTTCTTTCTCTTCTTCTGTCTTTCTTTTTCTTTCTCTCTTCCGATCTCTTACCTGGCTGGCTCCCCCGTCGCCCTCCTCGCAGTCCGTCAGGTTGTTCAGCATGGCGGCAATGGCAAGGAGGAGGAGGAGGAGGAGGAGGACGCCGGGTCCGCGGACCGGGGCCAGGCTGGGAACTGGGCTCAGGATGGAGGCAGACAGCGAGGGAGGGAGGGATGAAGGAAGGAGGGATGGCCCCTCCTCCTCTTCCTCTTCCTCCTCCTCTTCTTCCTCCTTCTCCTCCTCCTCCTCCTTCACCGCCGCTTCTGCACTGCAGAGCAGACCCAGCGCCTGCCTTCCTCCTCCTCCTCCTCCTCCTCCTCCTCCTCCGTCCGCCGTCATCACCATTCCTGACGGGAGGGGCGAGGGGCAAGAGTGGGGAGGGAGGGGGATGAGGAGCGGGGGGGGGGGGACCAGGCGCCACCCCCCATTTCCTTCCTCACGACCCCCGACCTTTGGGAGAAGACCCTCGTGGAGGAATCTCCTTTATGATAGCCTCCTTCCCGACGGGAGGGGCGAGGGGCAAGAGGGGGGGGGGGAAGGAGGAAGGGAGGAGGGAATTACCCATCCTCCCACGACCCCCGACCCCTGGGAGAAAGGGCACTGCAGCTTCACCAGGGAGAGACCCTCCTGGAGGAATCACCTTTACAATAGCCCCCTTCCGAACGGGAGGGGCGAGGGGCAAGAGGGGGAGGGAGGGGGATGAAGAGCAGGGGGTGGGGCCAGGCGCCCCCCTTTCCTTCTTTGCGACCCTCGACTTTTGGGAGAAGACCCTCCTCGTGGAGGAATCTCCTTTACAATAGCCCCCTTCCCGACGGGAGGGGCGAGGGGCAAGAGGGGGGGGGGAGGGGGATGAGGAGCAGGGGTGGGGTTTGGCGCCCCCCCCCCCCCAATTTCCTTTCAAACCCCGACCGTTGGGAGAAGACCCTCGTGGAGGAATCTCCTTTATGATAGCCTCCTTCCCGACGGGAGGGGCGAGGGGCAAGAGGGGGAGGGAGGGGGGATGAGGTGCCTCCCACGACCCCCGACCCCTGGGAGAAGGAACTGCAGCCTCACCAGGGAAAGACCCTCGTGGAGGAATCTCCTTTATAATAGTCCCCTTCCCGAAGGGAGGGGCAAGAATGGGGAGGGAGGGGGATGAGGAGCAGGGGGTGGGACCAGGCGCCACCCCCCATTTCCTTCCTCACGACCCCCGACCTTTGGGAGAAGACCCTCGTGGAGGAATCTCCTTTATGATAGCCTCCTTCCCGACGGGAGGGGCGAGGGGCATGAGGGGGGAGGGGGGATGAGGCGCCTCCCCCACTCCCACGACCCCCGACCCCTGGGAGAAGGAACTGCAGCCTCACCAGGGAGAGACCCTCGTGGAGGAATCTCCTATATAATAGCCCCCTTCCCGACGGGAGGGGCGAGGGGCAAGAGGGGGAGGGAGGGAGGGGGGTATGAGGCCCCTCCAGCCTCCCCCCCGCCCACGACCCCCCACCTCCGACAAAAGACACTGCAGCCTCACCAGGGAGAGACCCTCGTGGAGGAATCTCCAAGTCCCCCCCTCTTTATAATGCCCCCCCCTGAGAAGGAGGGGTAATTGGGAAGGGGGTAAAAGGGGGTCCAGTGGAGGGGTGGTCACTCCATGAGGCTTCGAGGGCAAGGCAGGGGCAGGCAGGCATAGAAGACTGCAAGATCATCCAAGGCGAATCCAGGTGGCCAAAGGAAACATTCCACTCGCCCCCAACAGACAAGACTTCTTTCTTTCTCCCACCCTATAAGGACCCCATACTCCTAGTTTCCAACAGGCCTCGCAGCCTCTGAGGACGCCTGCCATAGATAGATACTACAGGCAAAACTAATATATACCCAGAGGTACAACAGTAGGCATTGGTCAATACTCAATAAACAGGTATGAGATATTGATTTATTGATTGTTGACAATAAATCAGAATTGTGTCCAATTCTGGGCACCACAATTGAAGAGAGATATTGACAAGCTAGAATGTGTCCAGAGAAAGAGGGCAACTCAAATGATCAAGAGTCTGGAGAACAAGCCCTATGAGGAGCGGCTTGAGGAGCTGGGCATGTTTAGCCTGAAGAAGAGAAGGCTGAGAGGAGACATGATAGCCATGTATCAATATGTGAGAGGAAGAATCCGCAGGGAGGAGGAGGGAGCAAGCTTCCTTTCTGCTTCCTTGGAGACTAGGACGCAATGGAACAATGGCTTCAAACTACAAGAGAGGAGATTCCATCTGAACATGAGGAAGAACTTCCTGACTGCGAGAGCCGTTCAGCAGTGGAACTCTCTGCCCCGGAGTGTGGTGGAGGCTCTTCCTTTGGAGGCTTTTAAGCAGAGGCTGGATGGACATCTGTCAGGGGTGATTTGAATGCAATATTCCTGCTTCTTGGCAGAATGGGGTTGGACTGGATGATGGCCCACCAGGTCTCTTCTAACTCTTTGATTCTATGATTCTATGACTGTGAGAGCCGTTCAGCAGTGGAACTCTCTGCCCCGGAGTGTGGTGGAGGCTCCTCTTTTAGAGGATTTTAAGCAGAGGCTGGATGGCCACCTGTCGGGGGTGCTTTGAGGGTGGTTTTTCTGCTTCTTGGCAGAATGCGGTTGGATTGGATGATGGCCCACCAGGTCTCCTCCAACTCTAGGATTCTATGACCAATGCATAGAATCATAGAATCCAAGAGTTGGAAGAGACCTCATGGGCCATCCAGTCCAACCCCATTCTGCCAAGAAGCAGGAATATTACATTCAGATCATCCCTGACATACTGTTATACTTGTGGGTATATATTAGATTAGTGTATAATCAAGAACCCGTTTACTCTATATAGATACAAGCAAAACATCAGGAGAGAATGCTACTGGAACACAGCCAGGCAGCCCAGAAAACTCACAGCAACCCAGTGATTTCAGCCATGAAAGCCTTCGTCAAGACATAAAATCACAGAGTTGGAAGAGACCTCATGGGCCATCCAGTCTAACCCCGTTCTGCCCTGCAGGAAAAGCACAATCAAAGTATCCCTGACAGATAACCACCCAGCCTCTGTGGAAAAGCCTCCAAGGAAGGAGCTTCGGCCACACACTGAGGCAGAGAGTTCCCCTGCTGAATAGCTCCAAGAAGTTCTTCCTAATGATCAATAGAATCTCCTTCCCTGACATTGGAACCCAATGCTCCATTGAGTCCTGGTTTCCAGGGCAGGAGAAGGGAAGCCCCCCCCCCCACCTTGTGGAACTCCCTCCCCAGTGACACCAGATTAGCCCCCTCCCTCATGACCTTTAGGAAAAAATGGAAAACCTAGATGTGGGACCAAAAGTTTGGGTAATTGATTACTGCAATATATGAACATGGAATGGCACAATGAGAACTGGCAATATGGCAAATCTATATAACTAAAAATGTAATGCTCGTTTGTGGGATTAACATAACTCAAAAACCACTGAATAAATTCACACCAAGTTTGGACACAATATACCTCTCAGGCCAACAAGTGACCATCACTCATAAAAACACTGAAAAACGAAGCAGAAGAGACTTTAAAAGCCAAAAACACAAAAAGATGCTACAGCGCATGAGCAAAATCACACACACACATGCAAAATACACATATACACAAATATATACACACACACAAAACACATATACACAGACTGGGCCACAGTAACACCTGGCAGGGGACAGCTAGTAAATAAATAAATAAGAGACCCTTCACAGAATCATAGAATTGTAGAGTTGGCAGACACCACATGGGCCATCTAGTCCAACCCCATTCTGCCCTGCAGAAAAAGCCCAATCAAAGCCTTCCCAACAGGTGGCCATCCAGCCTCTGTTTAAAAGCTTCCAAGGAAGGAGCTTCCACCACACTCTGGGGCAGAGAGTTCCACTGTTGAACAGCTCATATGATCAGGAAGTTCTTCCTCATGTTCAGGTGTAATCTCCTCTCCTGTCATTTGAACCCATAGCTCCTAGTCCTAGTTTCTTGAGCAGCAGAAAGGAAGTCTGTTCTCTCTTCCTTTTAAAAAAATCAATACAACTGTTTGGTTTGCTCCTGACACAATAAACAAATAAATCATAGAAAAATAGTTGGAAGAGACTGCATGGGCCATCTAGTCCAACCCCCTGCCATGCAGGAAAAGTACAATCAAAGCACCCCTGAGAGATGGCCATCCAACCTCTGTTTAAAAGCTTCCAAGGAAGGAGCTTCCACCACACTCAAAGGCAGAGAGTTCCACTGCTGAACACCTCATATGATTGGTAAGTTCTTGCTAATGTTCAGGTGGAATCTCCTTTCCTGTAATTTGAACCCATGGCTCCTAGTCCTGGTTTCATAGGCAGTTTCATTATCCTTTCACATAATGATACATGGATCTCATGCGTCTTTCTCTCAACCTCCTCTTCTGCAGGCTAAACATGCCCAGCTCTTTCAGACGCTCCTCAGAGGGGTTATTCATGGTCTCCAGACCTCTAACCCTTTGAGTCTCCCTTTTCCTCTGTTCACCTTCCAGCTTAGAGTCACGTGGCTCTCATGTGTTCTTCTCCCAACCTTCTCTTTTGAGGCTCAACAGGCCCAGCTCTTTAAGATGCTTCTCAGAGGGATTATTCATGGTCTCCAGACCTTTCATCATTTTAGTTGCCCTCAAATGGACTCCTTCCAGCTTAGAGTCAATATCTCTTTTGAACTGTGGAGCCCAGAATTGGACAAAGTCTGATTCCACCAAAGCAGAACAGGACTTCTTCCCTCGATCTGGACACTTGACTCCTTCTGAGGTAAGCTCAAAATCTCATTGGCTTTCTGAGCTGCCGCATCACACTCTTGGCTCATGTTCAACTTGTTGTCCACAAAGACTATGATGTAAACACAGTGGGAGGACAAAGGATGGGCCCTGTTCCCAATAAAAAGGGGGAGGCACTCTTGGAACCAAAAAATCCCCCCAAAGTTTGACCATGGGACCTGCTTCTAGCAGAGATTTTGAAAGGGCATCTGTCCAGAGGGTTTGGATGGTGTCTTCTGATCTCAGAAGAGACTTGGACTGGATGGCCTTTGAGGTCTCTTCCAACTCTCTTCTGAGATCAGAAGACACCATCCAAACCCTCTGGAAGTTGCTCTTTCAAAACCTCTGCCGGAAGCATGTCCCGTGGTCGAAGTCTGATGGAGCAACAACAGTGTCCTTGACCCTCGGGATGGTGGGAGGGGGCTTCAAGCTCATCATCCACCAAGAAGGAAGAGTGGCTGGTCTGCTGTCTCTGGAAGACACCCTTCTCCCATTGCTAAAGCCCTCCTTCCAGGTGTTTTGGACTTCAACA